ACTCACTTGGTGCACAAGTGTGCTTCACAATGTACCCCGATAAACCCTCAACCCTAAACCCCTACACCCTAAACCCCTAAACCCTAAACCCTAAAACCCTAAACCCTAATCCCTTGAGGAGGCGGCGCAGAGCCGCATTGCGAGGTGAGGATCTGAGCTTTCCCCGTAGCGGGCACGAAAACCTGGGCTTTAGGGCTTAGGGTTTAGGTTTTTTTTTTTTTAAGGGCCCTTTTCGTTGCTCCTCGCGTCGAAGCCCGTGTTGGGCAGGCTACACGGTTTAGGGTTTAAGGTTTAGGGCTGACTGTTTCTAGAGGGTGGAAAGGAAGCTTCCGGCCTAGCCTACACGGGTTTAGGGCTACTTAGGGTCTTGGGGCTTGGGGTTTTGGGCCTCTCAGGATTGTTGCTTTGGGTAGTTTATCTTGGCCATAAAACGGTTTGGGGAATTGACTGTTTCCATTTAAACCAGGAGCCTCCCAGGGCTTCTGGGGTATCCAGTCTAGGCTAGTCTAGGATAATATAGTGGTCTTAATAATTTCCTATACTATTTTGGGGGCTCCTTATTATAATTATAGTATAATACCCCAAACCCTATTCTAATTATTAAGGACCCTGCAGTACACAGATACAGTTTCAGGGGTCATAAGCAGGATTACTACAATGTGTTATTGCTCGACCCCTAAAGTAGTGCAGCTATAAGTTGGTTACAGGAAGCCAAAACTGGGGACGATGAGTCGATATTTTTCACTTTGTGGCCTGAGATAAGAGCACTGAGTAGGGTTTAGGGCTTGGGGTTAAAAAGGGTTTTGTGGAATCTGAAGAAGTCTGGGTGCGTCGGTCTTGCGCGAATGGAGTTCTACTTCGGACAATGCTTGACTTGACTTGCCACTAGGAGAGGACTGCTGCAGGCGCCCTCAACTACACTGTCGCGCCTATATATATATACACACACATATAGTATGTATATATATATATATAGAGAGAGTACATATATATATAGAGAGAGAGATAGAGTGTGTACATATCTATATATATATATATAATTATTTATCTATATGCGGCGCCCTAAACCCTAAACCCTAATGCCTAGACCTGATTTTGAAGCCAAAACCCGTACTACAGGGGCCCAGGCTGTGTCGGAGAGCCAAACAGGCTGTCCTGCAATGATGCACTGACCCGTATCGGACTTAGGGTGAAGGCCTGCCCGAAGTAGGGCTCGAGGTATAGGATTGAAAAACCGAGGCCGGTAAGGATGAGGGGGCTAGGTTTAGGTTATGGGGTTTAAGTTTAGGAGTGTTAGGCTTCAGGGTTAAAGGTTTGGGGTTGAATGGCTCAGGCTTTTAGGGTGAGGCTCGACGGTTCCCAGGAGTATCCCAACCTGAAATGCAAACCGGGTCGAAGACATCGAAGTTCGGGGTCAGGGGCTCAGGGCTTGGGGCTTATAGGGTTTAGGGTTTGCGGTTTAGGGTTTAGGGATTTATGTATAGGGACTTCAGGTCTGTTCATTTCTGGGAAGGATCGATCACTGGAATGACAGGAAAACTTCAACCGACAAGCATTGTCGTAGAAGAAAGGCGAGCGTGGAGCGATCAAACCGATGATCACATGCTCACCTGGGCCCTAGAATCTAGAACTTTTCCTCCGCGCCATTGTATCACGTTGTCAACCGGCGGGTGCATGGAGATCTGACCCTTCTGAGGGGTCACTGCAACTCATTGAGCACCCGTTCGAGGATCTGTCTGAACGGCTCCAGTCCCGTCAAGACTCGAGCGATTTTGCTGGCTTCAGGCTCGCTCATTTTACGCCCTGCGGTCGCAATCATCGGGGAGACATAGGAATCGGGGAGGAAGGACTTGCATCTGAGAATCTCATCTTTCAATGCCACCAGAGGTTTCCGAAGCTCTTGCTGCTTCACGGCCACCTCGAGGAGGATGTCAGGTTCGGATTTGATGAGGAGCTGCAAGTCCTCCCTGGCACCCTTCTTGGCTAAGTCAAGGATGCACCTTTCGTATTGTGCTTTCAGGCCGTGTTTTTGAGCTTGCAGGAGGCGGGTGCCGGTGGGCGGAAGCGAAAGAAGGAGCGTTTCGCAGGCACGCTTGATAGTGGCAACCTGATAGTAGTCACTGATGGCAAGAAGCGAATCCACATTCTCCTTTGTCACAGCACCGGCGCTCCATGCCGTCGGCGCCAGCAGGCCATAGAAGATCTCGAACTCCTCCTTGCTGGCCAATTCCACCTTGATGACGCTTTGCTGTGCCTCCTTCATACCACTCTGAAGCATGCGGTTGAACACAGGCGAAGCCAAGCGCAGAAGAATGGAGTTGGCCGGCATGGAATGCTCTGAGGATTCGCCGAACTCCAGGCGAACATCACTGACCTGATCCAAAGTAGCCGCTGCGGGCATCTCGGTGTTGTCGGTGGCCAGCGGTTCCATGTCCGCTGCTGGCCTTTTGGTTCCCCTCTCCATCATGGGCTCGACGACCACCGTCCTAGCCACCTGGTCATGTAGCTGCGAAGTACTAATTAAGAGCCGTAAAGGTACACTGCACTGTATATGTGTCCGGGGCTCATAACAAAAAATGCTGTTTCGTTAGACTTCGTTGTCCATTTCTACCAGCCGCAATGATTTACCAGACGGAGGGAACATACCAGCGTCTAAGAAGTTTCAAGCTGGCATGCAGCTAGCTCTACATGTGAGACTCTGAGGTACGACATCACACTGACTACGATACTAAAGAGATGCACATCGAAACGTGATACAAAGTAGTTGCTCCGATGATGCCTTCCATGACCATTCGTCTGCAACACTACAAGTACTGTAGCACTCAAGAACATGTCAATGTCTGATTGTTGGAGCCAAGTCTGCATCATGCCGCAACTGTCTCCACAAACAGCGTATGTAGGCTTCCGGTTTCGGGGTTTTGTCATCCGACGACATATAAGAGAACCCTGTGTAACGTGTATGATCGCGAGTGTCAGCCCAACAGCCTCTATCCTAAAGGCTAACGGGTCTTTGTAGCACAGGTATGCGACGGGAACCTCAGGGAAAAGAGCACTGACCACTCAAGGAACATTCACACTGTGTAGCAACTCAAAATACTATATCGTTATCACCACTGACTATTGACTTGCTTCTTGTTGCCGATGTAATGGTTTCTCCATTACGGCGATGCAGTTCTGAACACACTTCTTACTTCCGCGTTTTCCGATATTCGCAATACTAGCTGAGCATCTCTAACCTAAACCCTAAACCCTATTCTACCTGTAGCCGGAAAGACCTACCTCTTTAGGGTTCCTTATTATGGTTTCTATATAATTACAGGTCCTTACAAAGGTAGGTCTTTTGGGCTACAGGTAAACCCTAAACCCTGTAATTATTGCAGCCCCTTGGGCTTCTTTCGTTTCTTGCCTGTCAGAAGCAGGCTCGCCTACAGAGTCTGAGTTCTGCTTTACCCAGACCCCCGGGAGGATCTAGAAAGTAGATCCCCTGATTTGGGACCCTAACTACTAAAGGGTCCCTATAGGAACCCCCTTAAGGGATCTACTTTTTGGACCCTCCCAAGAATCTGGGTACTGGGTTTACTGCTCCGAGACTCCGAGAGCTCTAAGTAAAGCCATGCTCCAAAACGCGTGGTATGGCGGGTTTGGTTTAGGGTTTAGGGTTTAGGCGGTTTAGGGTTTCTAGGGTTTAGGGGCATCCGGTTTGGGTTTCGGTTTCTAAAGCTTAGGGTAAAGCGCTGAATAACGGACCTTTGAGGGCGGGGTATTTGAAAAACGCAGGGGAGGCGATGGCCAGAGGTTTTGCAGCGGCGAATGGGACAGGTGGGGAAAATCAACAGGACGATTGACATAAGATCAGCTCCTAAACTTCAAATTAGAGGTACCTGCTCAGCCACAAAGATTGTGCAAGAATCGTACGATTTGCAGCCATCCCCCTTGCTAATGCCTCTGTTCCTGTCCTGTGCACTCAGATAAACCCCTTTCCGAATGTGCGGCTCGTGGTGTGCATAGAAAAAATCTGCTTTGGTACAGGGCCTAGGTGGGTAGTTCTCTAAGTTAGGGTCTGTTGTTAGGTCTCCAATATACTACGGCACCCTTACAA